TGGTTACACGCCTGGTTGACCTGGTGATTCCATAATTGCCCAGTGGGGGCCTGGGGGGTGAAAGGGGTGGGGGTTTGCCTAGGTGAAAATGCTTCGAAACACAGATTCCCACATCCTTCATAGAGCTAGTTCTTCCTCTGAAGCATCCGTGGGAGATCAGCCCCAAACTCCCCATCCCCCACTCCATCAAGGCACAGAGTCAAAAGGGAATTTACTCTGTCACATAGCAATGCTGCGCTGCTAAGCGTCTTTTGGACCCACCGTGTCATAAAGGGAGCTTTAGCGTTAAAATGGTGAGAAAATTATCGGCTGGACTTCATTGATAACCAACTGTGGATGCCAGTTTCTTTTGAATGCGGCACAGGTCAGGTGGCCCACATTCCTTTGATGTTTCTGGGTCATAAATCCATCCATCCATCCATCCATCCATCCATCCATTGTAGCTGCTTATCCAGTAAAGGCTCACGGAGGGGGAGTACAGGCATGAGGTAGGGGAACACCCTGGATGGAAAGCGATTGGGTAATACAGCTTGTATAAATAATTGCTCTGTGCTTTGTTCTGCTGTGATCTGGGCCTACACTGCTGACAGCCTCAGGTGGAGTGTATCTAGTTACAAATACAGAATGGGGGGGTCGGGTTCACAGCACACAGTGTACTGCATGATCTCTGTGCCACCCCTCAGTTGAGAGTGGCGCCACCAGCAGGCAGCACTCTGAACTGACTGCTCATAGAAGGGCCAAATTAATTAAACACTCTTTGCTTCTGCTGCTGACAGACATAAATGCAGTGGGGGGCATGATGGCCGAAGAGCAGCACTCATGGGTACAGCCCCCCCCCCCCCCCCAGCTGCGTCCTTCGGGAAAGACACGTCACGGCGCAGCAGTGTGGAGCTGCAGATGCCGTGTGCGTCATCCCGGATAAAAGCGGCCGCTAAGCAAGTGAGTGACACAAATAGGGCAGATGTCCCAAGTCCCACGGCCTGTGGGACATTAATGCGTGTGTGCCAGCCGGGTGACGGGGCCGACCGGCAGCCAAAGCGAAGCCCGCGGCCCGCGGGACGGTAACGGGCGTGTGCCAGCCGGGTGACGGGGCCGACCGACAGCCAAAGCGAAGCCCGCGGCCCGCGGGACGGTAACGGGTGTGTGTGGGACGGGTGACGGGGCCGCCCTGCAGCCAAAGCGAAGCCCGCGGCCCACGGGACGGTAACGGGTGTGTGCCAGCCAGGTGACGGGGCCGCCCTGCAGCCAAAGCGAAGCCTGTAGGCTGCCAGTCTCTCTGATTCCTTGCCAGCTTCTCCCAGCACTGGGGTCCCCATGGAGAAACCTCCACCCAGCCTTTAACTGATAATTAAATGTATTTTAATTAATTTTAATAAAGCTGTGGCCCTCACTAAGAGTAACTGTCTGAAGATAGATGGATTGATCGATGGATAGATAAACTTAGCGAGTTTAAAATTCATTTTGACCTTATAGAGGGGCATCAGAGTGGCAGATTCAGGGGGCCCAGCACTTGACAGGAGCCCTTAAATATGTAAAATTATATGTAAAACCGAAAGAGGGGGCCAACGTGAGGTTTTCTCAGAGTGCCTGGAATTTCTAGGTAAGCCCCTGACCAAAGTGGATAGTTCAAAGTAAAAATTCAGACCAAGATTTTGTTTTAGCCAACCAGCTGAGTATTTCTGTGACTGTGACTCATTATACTCAACTGGTTGGTTAAAACAAAATCTTGGTCTGAATTTTTACTTCCTGGACCTGAACTATCATCCTGTGTCCCAAAGCAGTGTTAAGCTGGACTGGTCCGTCTTATTTCACCCACAGCAGCTGAGGCGGGTTTACCAGGAGTGCTACTTTCACCTGTCATTTACAGCCACTAAGGACACCTGAGAGGACCACGTGATGTACAGTAGGTGCTTGGCTGCTACCCACAAGTTCACTAACAGGTTTCCCTAATCCATGAGCCCAGAGGGGAAGGAAAGAAAACGTCTTGGGACAGGCGCAAGAAAGGAAACAAGACAAGCAAGGAGATTTACAGGTCTTTCGACTGGTGTGAGATGTATGGTTCGGATTACTGGGTGGGAAGCAAAACGGAACACGGAATTATATAGAAATTACAGGAACAAGGCACCAGTGGAACAAATCGATATGGCTGATTATACAGTGTCTCTCCAGTGTCAACCGTATTAGGTTAAGTATGTAGTTCAAAGTTAAAACAGGAATATCATTTTTTGATTGGAACCCGCGTCTTATTATTGGCTAACAACCGGCCGCTTCCTTTCCTGAGGACAGGCGTCTGAAAGGCAGCCTGTTTACACAGGTAACGGCGATCACGCTCTGCCGGTAACGATCGTTAAAAATAATGGCGTTATATGGAAATCATCAGGAAAGCATAATCACCTCATGACAGGACACGAAGATGGGGGATGGCAACAAACATCTGGCAGATGTGCAAGCCAGATGCTTGAATGGAAAAAAATACAAAACACATGAAAGGAAATTTTTCTGACTTTGCGCGAACTTGACAGTTGTCGGATAATATAGTAGCAGCATGCAGCCACATGAAGGGCGAAGCGGGTTGCGGGCGTCCTCTCCGGCACCGCTCCGCTTCCTGATCGGGAGTTCACACAGCAGATGCGACGCAGGATGTTTGCATTCCCCCAAATATGCCCCCTCAATTCCTCATCCTCCTCCACTTTTTCTTCACAGGTACCAAGACACCCTCGTTTATGCATATATGCAGCGACGACAAAAGATGCAATGAATTACGTACGAAACAAGCCACGCGTGCGTCCTACAGATAAGGACCGGAAGCAAGTCACTCTAAAAATACTTATTACTTATTATGACGGGAAAAAACTATAATTAATAGCACAAATTACTAGGAAAAACTACATAGGTCTATATCTGTTTTCGCTAAGTAGGCCTAAATCAGATTAGACAATATAGATTTAAATTAGCATGACAAGAGGGTGAAATACTCTACATCCACAACATTATGGAAAAAATAATCTCTGCATGAGGTTCAAAGTACTAAGAGTAATTTTGCAGTAATCTTTTCTTCATTCTCAGATAAACGCAGTAAACCTAACTTTATCAACTAGTAAGCTTTCCCTTCCGTTCAAACAATACATGTATCAAATTTGCCTGCCCTTTTCACAAAGTAATTGAATTTATTCACGCATGGAAAATTGCAAAGGAAATTAAGGAACCCTCTTTGAAACATGGAAATTAAAAGGTAACTCCTTTCTTTCTAACCAGCCATTCCATCCTTAATGCTGATCCACGACCGCGTGTCCTGTTATTTGTCGGTTATTTGATATGAACACTTCTTTAAATGGCTCGCTGTCATCTAGATCTGGACAAAATTACGGTTAACACAGATGTTCGTCAAAGAATAGTTGTAATTCCTTTTTTCTATGTTTATAACCAAATGTGTTGCCTTTTACTATAGTGGTCCCTTTTTGTCTATACTAAACATTTTAACCCTTATATCTATGTGCATATAGATTAAATAATTGACTAATTTCATGCTTGTATTATTTGTCTCACCGTCAGATTACAGCATGACATTCAAAGAATTCGATTGTAGGCCTATTAGGCAATTTCACCATTTAAATTGCTATTTTTATCTCCGCGGTTGTGTTTTGCCGCATATTACACGAAATAATCATGAGTGGTTATTTTTAAAAGATGAACGGATGTCAAGGATATCTGAATATTTTAAACCATTCAGACAGCCTGACACTAATGAAAGTCGTTGCACATTTAACTAGCCTATTCAAATTGTAAAAAGACTAACAAAAGTATTTTAGTGTCAAATAAATGTTAATTATCTTAGAAGTTGACTATCAGGCCTATTCTATCGCATTCTCCTGCTCACTGCAAAATCATTGTTTTTTTTTTTCTTATTTAAATCATTTACTTCCATTTACTTGTGAGCAATCTCAGCTGAGAAGTTTCAGCTCCAAGGGGCAAAATAAATAATTTGCTTATCTTACACATAATTGCTGCTTTTCAAATTCCTTCTTATGAAAATTAAAAACACGTACTCAATTCATTGAAAAAAATCGCACATTTGAAAATGACAAAAAGACGTGAGCGACAGCGCCCTCATCTGTCAAACTGACGAAACAGAACCATGCAGCTTGTCTTTTACGCAAACACGCGGATAGTTTTGCATTTTCTAAAACAAAATATAACTCTTGGAGGTATTGGTTGGCGGCTAAACATTCGTATTTTATATTTAAGTAAGGGCTGCTTAGTTGGTTAAAATAGGGGGTAAATTTGAACAAACATTCCGTTTACCGTTTGGTTGCCCCTTACCTATACACATTGGCGTTCAACATTAGCTTTAATTTCACTTTGGCTGGAAACACATGCAAAGCAACTGGCGTGAAAAATATTCTGGAGGATCTGTATTTGTATCATCCTGGCAATGTCACAACACCGGGCATTTTGACGAGCGGAACTGAACCGCCCGTTATCTATAGTCCTCTGAGATGGTCGAGGAGCAGAACCGACACTATTGTAATCTGAGCCACATTGGTAAAACATTTTGTGGCATTTTCCTGTAAAATGCCCAGCTGTTCAAATGGGTAGATTGTAATCAAATGTACTGTAAGTCTGTCGTGCAACTGAATAATTCACCAGCAGTAAGACCATTACTTGTTTGGGTCTGATTCTAATCACCGTCCATATGTGAAGAATCGTTGCAGCAGGCAATATTTCAGCATGCAGATCCGTCCCGGGCCTTCACAGCCCAGAACATTACGGTGATTGAGTGCTGAGCTCTTTTGCGGCAACTTCGGCTCTTTAGCGGGGTCAGGAAGGGAAGCGGAGCGGCGCGGATCTCGCCGATGATTAACTATCTCCGGTAAAAAGCTCCAAATCAGTCAGACATGAAAAGGTACGCAATCTCACCGTACGGCCCTCTCCTCTCCATTTAACCTTTGGTTTAAACAGTGTATATATCTTTTAGAGAAGAAATAGAAAGTGGTCTTTCATGTGGTAACATTTTTGAAAGATGGCTTGTTTATTTATTTGCTTGTTTGCGAATAACTCGTTTAAACCCACGTACGGAGACAGCAGACAGCACAGTAGTTAAACGCCCGGACTTGTGACAAGAACATTAAAGTTTTAAATGTTTGGCTGCTGTAAAAATCGTCACTTCAATGGTGTCAGTAAAACACTTAAATAAAAACTAAACAAACTGGTAAAGCTGTAAGCCATATACAAGGGCTATTCAATTACTCTGCTGAAGGGCTGAGCTCAGACAGCCTACCAGTCCTCATTACATCATTAAGGGATCAGAAAGTCAGTTAAATGGATTCAGAGACAAAAGGTGTTTTGGTGCTCTGCCGAAAGGAAGACTTCTTTTAGCGAGCCTTTCCGAGTAATTAAATAGCTGCGCTTTGTGATTTAAGTGAAAAAATAATGTTGCATATATAGAGTAGAATGTAACACGGCTGAGAGTCTGAGACGGGAGACTGTATTTTGTGGGGGGGCTTAGCATGAACGTGGACACAGTTTAGGCCCCCATGATGGGATGAGCTGAACTTCCGTTTGGCTGGGAGGCTGGATTAAGCAGTGTGGCGTCGGATCGCTGCAGCCCTCTGCGCAGTGGACTGACTGAATCCACAAAACTGTTCGTATCTGGGATGGGGTCTGGGAACACGCCAGTGGGCCTCGTGGTGCCTTCGGGAAGGCCGTCAGAGTTTGGGGGCGCTGACATAACCTCGCTGGGTGTGAGCTGTGAGGCAGCAGAGGGTGAGGGGGGGTGTGATAGGGTGACAGCTGAGGCAGTTTCTGGAGTCAGAAGGTCAGAATTTGGAGGCAGCTGACTGTGGGGCTGCAGTGTGGAGGACATGTTACCCAGCTGGGCCTCTGCTGTGCTGCTCGGCCCCGAGACAGAACTGCGGGTGAAGGGCGCACCAGAGGGCTGCCACTCGTCTATCTTCTCCACAGTGTTAATTCCCGGTCCTGAGCCTGGGTGTCTCCCTGAAGACCCCCCTTCCTCCATAGGCTCGCTGGTCCCGGCCCACCAAGTCAGCAGGCTGTCTGGAGTCTCTGTGGGGGTCACACCAGAGCCATCTGTGAACTCTGACCCCGAGCCGGTGCCAGTTGTGATGCGTGCCGGTTGCTCTGTCTGCTCTGCCCGAGAGTGCCCTCTGGTGGCTGGGGGGTCTCCAACAGGAAGCAGGGGTCCACCGGATAAGAGGAATTCAGGATCGAGCTTCAGGAAGGTTTTTGGGTGGACCTGTGTGGCGACTGGGGACCTCTGCGTGCCAGCAGGTGGAGCTGTGCCGGGGACATCGGAGACGGATGACAGACGGGTCACATTCCAAAGGGTTTCTGGGGTGACCAAGTTCACATTCAGGGTGTTTTCGGGTGTCTTGGATGTGCTCATGCCTGGTTCAGATAAAGGTGGTGCCATGCTAGTTAAGGGCTCTTGGGCTTCACTCTCCGAATTCGGCTGGCTGGAGCTCATAGCTGTGCTGCTGGCAGATGGCATTTTTGGGGTGCTGCCAGCAGAGGGCGTGGTTGTGTGCAGGTCACTCACTGAATCTATCTTTCTATCTGCCAGTGATACGGATGACGAGGCGGATTCTGAAAAAGTAACGTTCAATACATTATGCACACAGACACAACAATGCCATAAAACCCTAGTAGGAAAAGTAGGACAAGCAGAGAAATGTTTTATCTCATTTATGGTCTGTCTGATCATAAGTTTTCATTAAATCATTTATCCAATCAGGTTCACTGTCATCCACAATCTATTTCCAGAAGTGCAGAGGACAAAGCAAGCTGCACTCTGGGAGGGAGGCTGGTGTGTCGCCACATTTGTCCTCCTGATTAAGCACTAAACTCTAGGAAGATCTGGATAACAGCAAATACTGTATGTAAAGGCTAAAATGTACTTATGGGATGGCCTAAATTTCTCTGATTTAAGGTCCCCCAAAATGGGCTCCTGCTTTCATTCTTCTGTGCAAAATACATCTAAATAAATGTTGTAAACCTCTAAATGAAGCAATTCTAGCCATCAACAATGTAATTAATGAATTTAACAAACTTTCACTGACAAAACGTTGAATTCAACATATATAAAATACCAGTCTGAAGTTAACCCTCCCAAAAAAGTAAAATGTTTTATTTGTAAGCTTTCTGAAATTAAGCCTTCATCCCAAAAGATATGAATTCAATTTAGAGTAAATTACTGTTGTAGAGGAGGGAGTGTAAGTTTCGAGTTATGCTATGTTTGATTCCTGAAATAATTTACACAGCAAAGTGATGGAAAGACGAGGGTAATTAAAAATATGTTAAATTAATTCTACTGAAATGTAAATATTTGCGCCGTCGTATGACTTAGTTGTAGTCAATCTCTTTTATTACATTAGGGGCATTTCAGATGAATCATGGGAAACTGATACACGGAGTAAAAAAAACACACACATGGGAGAGATAAGAGTAATGAGGGTGGCAGGGGGTCAAAGGAGGAAGGAGAAGATAATCCTTTCATTAGCACTTTATACGAAGCATATATCTCTCACATACTTTCTTTTAGCAAAGCTATTTTGTTGCCTAGCTGATACATATTAGCTGTCCTGATCGTACAGCCGCAGCAGATCACTCTGAAAGCACTTTCCTGATCGTACAGCCGCAGCAGTTCACTCTGAAAGCACTTTCCTGATCGTACAGCCGCAGCAATTCACTCTGGAAGCACTTTCCTAATCGTACAGCCGCAGCAGTTCACTCTGAAAGCACCTTGTTCAGAGGTACAGCAGCTGATCCATCCTTGGGCTCCATGCCAATGGTCACAGAAGCTTTTTTTTTTTAATACTTAATTTCCCCTTATAGCCAGATCATAGATTCTTCCCTCCGGTCCTACAATCATGTGCCCCGAAGGTTTGGCGGTTGTGCTGTTAACAGTGAGGGATCACAGGCTGAGATTCTTGGTGCATAACTACGGCTACTGTGCCAGGCTGTAAGCTGGTGGCACACAGTCACCGCCTGAACCAGAAAGCTGACTGGAGGTGACTCATTCCAGCTGCAGCTAAGACATGCACTCCGCCCCTCTCCCAGTCCACAGCAGTAGTTAGGAAGTGCAGTACTGCCTCCTAGTGGTGTGTGATGGTGTGTGCAGGACACAAAAACATCAAAACAATACAATGCACTTAATGTCTTAATGAATCCACAGAAAAAACTCACATACCTCTGCAAGGTAAAAAGTTCTCCAGGCTCCAATACAGTCTGTGCGGTGTCTCTTTGAACGTTATTACAGCGTCCAGCCTGAAGAAAGGCTGCACCAGGCTGCCTCCTACTGATCCTGCACAGTTCTGACAGCGAGAAAGATATTATTTACATGTTTCTGCTGTAACATTACAGACCATGTAAGAAATGCATTTGATTCAAGAAGCTTTCAAAGACCTTCTTTGTGATTTAAAAGGGCTCACATGTCTGTTATTGTACCCTGTGTTATTGTATATATTGTGTACATACTGTTCTCATAATGCTATTATTCCTCTGCATTGTTGTATGTTGTTTAAGTCCACAGGGAGGCACATAAGCTTGTACTTATTGTACTTGTACAAATGACACTGCTGCTCCTTGCCTGAGCCTTGGGCTGCTTCCTTTGCGCCCTTGAATGCTGTATTATCGTCTGTGTGCCATTCCTCTCTGTTTCTGTTGCATGCATTAAAGTACATGACTTGACACTCACTCACAGTGCTGCTCGCTGCCCCCCCCGGTTACTGAAGGCAGTAAGGCAGCTGGATCTCATAAAGCCTCCTACGCTGCTTTAATCAAACTCATTATTTTAATACAATGTCAATTCAGCGTCTGTCCTGTGAGTCACTTAAAGCGGTTGTGACCTGCCCACACACCCCCACTGGCTCCCAAAGGAGAACACTGCCCCCTGGCTGCATCACGCACTCTGCACCCAAGTGTAATGGTTTCTCTGGTAGACAACAGCCCACATTTGCTGAATCTTATTTTAAGAGCACGATGGCTGTACCAATCCTGCACTCCCGCATCGGTATTCTATCTTTTGCGACTGTCACAAAGCCATTCCTCCGTCCCACTCTACTTCCTCACACCTCGCCTCTGTGTGTGTGTGTGTGTGTGTGTGTGAAGGTAGCAGACGCGAATAAATGATCACTGGTGAATACATTTCTGACTGCACTGAGCCTATTAAATGTTCCACATTTATGTTCACATGTCATTTGCAAATCCAGAGCAACCTCCACTCGGCGCGTCAATTAACAAAACACAGGTGGCATTCAATGCTAACTCACAGGACATGTCAAACCCATATGTGCTGAATCTCACTTTTGAGGCCTTACTTGCAATCCTCAGTCTCTGACAGAACAGCTGCTTTGCCCTGTATAAACTCTCTTGGGGCTTCTTTCACCACTGGTGGCACCATATGAAATTTTGGTCGTGGCAGGATATCAAAATACCATCTTTTAAAAGTGACACAGCTTAGAAAAAGCTTTTTTTGTTGTCACAAGCTTTTTCTCCATGAATTGTTTTCCAAGAATCTAACTGAATCAAAAAACATTTACTTCTCTGTGTGTATCTAAAGATCCTTTGATCTTCCATAAACATTCATCCAGTACAGGTTCATGTTGAGCCTGGAGCCTGTCCCAGAGGGGGCAGGGCACACGGCCGGAGACACCCTGGACAGGACACGCCCCAAACGCCAGTTTCTCTCACTGCATGTTTCTGGACTGCTGGAGGAGACTGAGGAATGCAGTGAAAACAAATACAGCACTGGAAGAACATGGAAGTTGTGGGATTTTGAACCACAAACTGCGGACATGTGGCTGCTACATAAAAAGGCAGCTTAGATTAAGTGGCAGCGTGGAGCTTTTTGTGCATTTTGGCTAAAGGTCCTTGCTGGTCAGTCCAATTTATCCCTGCTGTTCCTGAAGGGAAGCAGGTTAAGATGTAGGAGGTGAATGACAGCACCCACCCTGGTTGTGGTGATGCGGGAGGTGTTGACGGTGAGCTGCACATAGTCGCTTCCCTCGGACACGGTGAAGGCGTCGGTCTGGCTGACGGACACGCCGCTCAGCGTCAGGCTCTCCCTGTCCAACCAGCCCCGCTTCACCAGACCCATCCGCCGCTTGAGGATGTGCAGCACAGCCAGGTGCTCGGCCGAACTGGATACTGACGTGACGGGGGGACAAAGACGTTCAAACACATGGTCATTCTGTTCCGTTCCACGCCCAGGTCTCCCTCTCCCAGGATTACTCTGTACTCAAGGGCCAATTCAGATTCAGGAGTCAATGCTCAGTGAGTCAATGCTCAGCGAGTCAATGCTCAGGAGTCTCATGCCCCTTAAAGGGAAAGACACACATTGTTTACGGAGAAGGGCATGGGACCAAAAGGCTGCTGTCTCATGTCCTTTAAAGGGGAAGGTGCATTTTGGTTAAAGGGATGGATTTGGGACTAAAAAGGGTGCCCCTTAAAGGCAAATGCTGCTGTAAACTGTCACTGTTTCAGAAACTACCCACTTGCCATGATCTGACATGACCTGCGCTTTGCTCAGTGGGCTATCGCTGCATAGGAGATAGTTACAGTACAGAAAAAAAGCATGATATATAATCTGGTCTGTGGTAAAAACAACAAAATTATAGTCTTTGAGTGTAAGAAGCCGTGCAGCTTACCACTGGGACAGACAGCCTCCATGCTGTATGAGTAATGACCGCTGACCAGCCGGAGAGACAGGAATTCCCCCAATCGTTCCATTTCCTGTGGCGCATGGTCCATCTGTTCATTTCCCCTGTAGTCAGGCTTTGTTCAAATGCTACTGCCTGTAAGTCCTTTTATCTGCATATTTTTACTGAAGTGATTCAGGTCTGGCACCTGAAACTACACCAGCAAGGTTTCTGTCTGACCTTTAACTTCATAGCGCCGCCTCCTAGCTTTCGTAACACCAGGCCGTTAGCCTTCGTAGCGCCTGCCCATAGCTTTCGTAGCGCCGGCCGTTAGCCTTCGTAGCGCCTGCCTTTAGCTTTCGTAGCGCCTGCCCTTAGCTTTCGTAGCGCCGGCCGTTAGCCTTCGTAGCGCCTGCCCTTAGCTTTCGTAGCGCCGGCCGTTAGCTTTCGTAGCGCCTGCCCTTAGCTTTCGTAGCGCCGGCCGTTAGCCTTCGTAGCGCCTGCCCTTAGCTTTCGTAGCGCCGGCCGTTAGCCTTCGTAAAGGGCAGTAATGGAAATGGTTGCTGGTTCAGATCCCAGGCAGGATCATACTGCTCTGTCCTTTTGTTATATGTTATATGAAGAACTATGTAATAATAACATGTAAACACAAACCACATTTGAGGTGTAGGAAAGACATCTGCATATTAATGACAATATTTTACAAATAACAGTTCCACCCCCGCACTGGTTTGCTCCAAAGCCTCATTCTGCCCCCCTTCTCCCGTCCCCACTGCTTTTACCTACATTAATGTATCTAGTGATAATAACCTATTTTAATATGTGAATCATTTGTTTCACACGGAATGACATACCGTATCGCCGGTCAGTATTTCGCTTCTCCTGCCCTGTACGGTGATATTGGCACCGTGAATCTCCACGTTCAGGCTGATCAGGCTGGCGTCTTCCAGAGCTACCACCAGCTTGCCTCTCAGTGCCAGAGACCAGGGGAGCTACAACGACACATCAGTCAGCCGAGCGCGCTAACGGCCGCTTATACTGCAGGTACCACACAGTCAGCCGAGCGCGCTAACGGCCGCTTATACTGCAGGTACCACACAATTAGCTTTTTCCTGAACCTGAACATGTTACTTTGCCAAGAAGTTGTTATTCTTACTTGCCTTGCACAACAAAGACCATTTAAATTGCTGAGCACTGAATGCCTTAATGAACCAGGTTAAAAAATGGTCTGTGGGCCGTACCTGGTTACTCCAGTTGTCGGTGGGCACTTGTCTCGTTACCTGAAACAGATATGAAAATAAATTACCGTGAAAGTTGCATTTTCTTTAAACCTTGAACATGCTTCTGTTTATTTGCATTTCCTATATCATCTTGTCTTATGCTGGGTCACAGATATGTTGGGAGCCCTTCCTGGAAGCTACAGGCACAAGGCAGGAATAACCCAGGATGGGGCGCCAACCCATCGCAGGGCACAAGGCAGGGAATAACCCAGGATGGGGCGCCAACCCATCGCAGGGCACAAGGCAGGGAATAACCCAGGATGGGACGCCAACCCATCGCAGGGCACAAGGCAGGGAATAACCCAGGATGGGACGCCAACCCATCGCAGGGCACACACACCCAATTTGGGAACTCCAATTAACCTTAATATATTTTTGGATTGTGGGGGGAAACCAGACAATGGCACGAAAACACGTTGGCTTAACTCACCTCTATAAAGTCAGGGTCGCAATGAATGTGCTCACCACTGGGAGGCGCTGTCACAAGAGGACATTTCATAACGAAGCCGTTAGACCAGCCTCCAAATCGGCTCGTTCTCTTCATCAGATTCAGTGATATTATGTAGTTGCCTTGCTGAAACCCAAGATTTTTAAAAACAATTACAATATATAAAATATGTGAATGATTTCTGCACAGAGCAGTCACACATTGATTTAAATTAGCCAATAATAGATCAGTAGATGAGAATAGATCATCTGGTGTAGCAGGTACTAATCTAGCAGCAGAGAGGCTACAATGGGATCGTGATTTAATCAGCGACTAGGCTGATACCTGGCAGATGAAATTTAACATAGATAAATGTAAAGTAATCCATGCAGGGAGCAGAAATATACAGATATTTTATTGGTTCCACTGAAATCAAGGTAGCTGATTATGAGAAAGACCTCAGTGTGTATGTTGATGCTTCCATGTCCCACTCTCGCCAGTGTGGGGAAGCAACAAAAAAGGCCAATAGGATGTTGGGTTACATCTCTAGGTGTGTGGAGTTTAAGTCAAGGGAGGTGATGTTACATTTATATAATTCCCTGGTAAGACCCCACCTAGAATATTGTGTGCAGGTTTGGCTACCATACCTAAAGAAGGACATTGCTGCCTTAGAAAAGGTGCGATGGAGGGCTACGAGAATGATTCCTGGTCTTAGAGGAATGTCTCATGAGGAGAGGTTAGCTGAGCTGAATCTGTTCAGCCTCGAGCAAAGGAGATTAAGGGGGGACATTATCCAGGTATATAAGATTCTAACAGGTCTGGATGCTGTTCAGTCAAATGGCTACTTTAATATTAGTTTAAATACTAGAACTTGTGGTCATAGGTGGAAATTAGCGGGAGAACATTTTATTTTATTTATTTATTTTTTGCAACAATTGTGGGAGAACATTTTAAACTGGCCTCCTCTTATTTGTAAATTTCTTATGTTCTTATATCAATATGATCGAACATTAAAGTCAAAATAACTACTGACGTACTTTGTTACACCAACATGTCATTAAAAACAGAGTGATGTTTGTGGACTCGTGCGGCGACAGCGTACCTCTAACTGCACGAAACAGCCACTGTAGAGGACCCTGAAGACATAGTTCCTGTCTGCGTCTCTGTGCAGCGAGAATCCGCAGGCAGATAACTTGAAGTTCAAATGTTCCAGGGACGCAAGGCTGACTGGATGAAATGGAGACAATACTAGTAATTTGAGAGAATAGGAAATTCACATTTTTTAATTATTCAAATATATTTCATTATTAAATGCAATGAAATATATAAAGGTAACAGGAAGGTTAGGTTGCAAGTTCCAGTTTTTAAATAGCTGTAATCTTAATTTAAAATCTATGATTGTAGGAGGAAAAGTTGCAAAAACAATGTGATCGTCCCTCCATCACGTGATGTGAAGATGATGTAATCCTCACCTGGAATCCTCAGCGCTCCGGAGAGCCAGAGCCGCAGCCCTTCGATCTTCATCCTGTGGACCCACAACTCCATGTACTCCGAGAAGCACTCCACGTCTCCTTCTGGGGCAAAACACCACTTGTGTCCATCCCGTGAACCTCACAACCAAGGCTGGACTGGGCTTAAAAATCGACCTTGAACTTTTTTCTAACCCGGCCCCCGCGAAATAGCCAGTCCAGGTCTGCTCCCAGCCAGCACCTTCTACAGTTAGATGCTCTACACGCATCATTCGGCGCTCTGTCGGTGCTGTACAGTTAGGGAATCTTACCTGCAGCAGTACGCAATTTGAGATATGCCAGGTTTCAAAGGTCCAAATTCAAACAGCGCAAACCATTCTTAAGGTTTAGTATTACAGCATGAGTTTTACGCGCTTAACATAAGGCATGATTGAAGAACATACAGAATATCTCACGAATTTTATGACATGGAAACTTCGTTTAAAATCACATGACTGGGAGACTGAGGAATTCTGTACCTGTAATGCTTGGTGAAGGATCTTGTATCCATGCTCTTTCCTGAACCCTCACTGAACGTCCTCTAGCGGCAAGCACAAATACCCTGCAAGAATAAGGCGAACTGTACAATTTGTGTGACAACATTATATATAGGCCTACGAAGAAATTTGAGGACAGTACCATCAATTAAAATTAAGTTAGTATTGCAATAAATATCTCGGCAGAAAAAAATGTATTTATATATATATATATATGAAAGAAATAAATATTAAAATACTTACACGAATGCAATGATAATGCCTATTATTTTTAAACCCATGGCGCTGACTTCTGAGAGCAGGTTAATTTTTCAGGATACAGTGAGGCAGGTGGATATACCCTATTTATAGGAGACGCGTGCCAACCAGCTGTGTTTGCCTGCGAATATCTCGACCAAGTGTAAAGGAAGTGAGTGTACAATATTACAGTGCATGAGAGAGTTTCCATAAAACTGAGAAGCCCCAGGTAAAGGATTTCATTGTTTTACGACGATCTGGGATTGTGGTGTCAGAAAGGAAGACGGGCTACGGATCGTCAGTACACCCACTTGTGGTTCAAGTTTTTATTTGTACCGTACACAATCATACACTCTTCGTCTATGTAGTAAAATATATAGTTATCTTAAAATGACCATTATAGGGTAGCAAACTTCATTCACATACTTAAAACATGACTGTTCTTTACACCACAATATTGGTAAATACAGAATGAGGCTTACAGTGTTAAGCCCACCCTCTTGTTTTGCACGGTTCTGTGTTTCGCACCTTTTTTATAATTAAAGTAAATCTCCTTCTTCCTCGATTGCTCTCTGCGTGTAACACTGTGGTCCTGGGGAACGTTATATCGGGCACGGTTTATTTCTATATGGGTTGTTTAACAGCAAAGGCGGCTTGCCTGATGAGTCACACTATCATAGCACATTAAGTACCAAACATGTGTTCCCCTGTCTGTGCTCCTATGCGCTCTCCGTGACCATGTACTGAACAAATTGCTGGATGGAAGTATGCATGGACAACAGCCTGATTTAAACCTGCAAACCTTAGTTCAGTTATCCCTTTACCTCACCCCCTGCTGATAATTCAGATATATTACAGAACAACAATTCTTTGTGTCAGTATGTCAGAAGCAAGTTAGCAACCATTTGCGTCGTTAGATCCGATCAATCAGGGTTATAAACCCGAGCATTTCCGCACTAAAAAGGGAGGAGGGCCTGTCTGCGGATGGAAAAAGGAGGTGTTATGGCAAATCAACACCAAAGACTGAGTAACAGTACGGAACTTAATATGCAGCACAGCGACGAAAAAGCTGGAAGTTGCCCGCACCCGGATGAAAAGTTCCGCTTTTAAAAACCTGTCTAGCCTTCTTGACTCTTTCAAGAGGAAAACTCAAGGTAAACCGGTATTCAGTTAAGTTCAAATATAGGCTTGCTGTGTTGACAAGAGCATAAGAAACAGTACTGCCTAAGCACACCAGGGACCATAAACAGCACAGCCAGCGCAGTGATAGTTATGATGAGCTGCTGCAGTCTGCTGAAGCAAGATCCACTGGAGAAATGGGATATCATCTGGGATGGATATTTTATTATGATAATGTACCGTACAATTTGTGTATTCGTAGTCCTAAAGGTGAGATGTGAGAAATTATTTTGATTAAATGATAATCTGATGATAAATTGTACTAGTGATGTTTAATAGTCAATGGCTAAATGCCTTAGTTTCCTTGAACATTATATGGGTGTTGATAATTACTTCTGTGTCTGAAAAGCCCAGGCAAAATGGACTTTTCAGTGGCCAAAAACGCCCTTGATGTTCTTTTTGAACAGTCAAATAAGTTGTCTTGCTTCGTGCGGTGATACTTTAACAGTATTTGATAAAATATTATGATTAAAATAGCATAACTTATAATTAATAATTAACGCTTTTCTCTCGTTTTATGCACCGGGCAGTAATAATATTCACGTCCTCGCGCTCTTGAATTCTATTGATCGGGTAAAATCACGTGACTCACACGTCGCATGTGCTATGTAGGCAAAACCATCGCATATATTCTAAATACACCGGACAGAAACGCAGATCTTTTAGTGTTCACCGAGGAATGTTAAAAATTCAACATTTTAAATAAGTCAATACTTAAAAATCCATCCTACGGCACCCGCCAATTCAATTTCTTCGCAGTTTTACTTTCCATGTTGCCCTTCTTGTCCTTATGTAATGAGACAACCCGACTTGATGATGTAATTCCCCTCAGTGACGCCAGGGAAGCCATTTTGTTTGGGAGCTTTGCACGGGAAAGCTAGGATATTGTGTTTGTTTTTCTCCCCGTTTTGCAGTTACACGTTATAAGTTTAAGTTAACACTGAAAATTTAATCAAGGTCGTTTCTCCGGCTAAATACGTAGTTTGTTTGGTAATAACTACGTAAAACACGAAACTTAGAGCATAAAATAACCATTCATTCCCCGTGTTCGGTTTGACGGCCTTTGATGGCCGACCGCTCTAGCTGCGTTTTCATAAATAGTGTCGTCCGGGGCGCCATCGCTGTATGAGTGTTTTATCGAAGTGTCGTCAGCACTGATCACTGTCCGACGCACGTTAGGCAAAGATCGCTAGATTGTTTTGTAGTATTTCGCCGACCGCGATTGCCTGCTAGCTGGTTAGTATCTTCTGCCGCGCTAGCCAGCCAGTCGCCAGCCGCTTAGTGCGAAGCAGCGCGAGTAAAATGTCCGAGATGTACATCCGCGTGGCCGAGGACGAGAATGAGGAGCCCATGGAGATCCCCTCGGAGGACGACGGCACCGTGCTGCTGTCCACAGTGGCCGCCCAGTTTCCCGGAGCATGCGGCCTCCGGTACCGCAGCCCCGTTTCTCAGTGTATGAGGGGTGTCCGTCTGGTCGAAGGCATTTTGCACGCCCCTGAGAACGACTGGGGCAACTTGGTGTATGTCGTCAACTACCCGAAAGGTACAGTGCAGTAGGGTTTGCCCGCCTGATTGAAAATCCCCGGTCGTTTGGCGATCGCCGGCACCGATGGCATCTTTTCGTTGAACAGATCGTTGTTTTGCATCAGAGAAGGAGGTGTTAGTGAATTCCTGTAAAAATTCTTAGTCAGACTGTTTGTTATGAGTATTGCCCGTTGCCAAGTGCACTCACTGTTTGAGAGCCGTGATCGTACCTTGTCTTGGAATAAAAGTCTGTGCCAACGGACAAGGGCCGATAAAATGTATTTAAAGAAGGGAGAGCAAAGTGAGACCTCGGCAGCAATGTGCGCATTTCTAACTCAGGAAGCCCCTGCTTCTAAAATGCATTTCATCCTGTGCTGCGCTCTTATACACCACCAATATTACTGGCCCACGCTGACGTCACCTCCAAGTAAAATAATACCCATGCTTTCTGTTTTAAAGCGAGTTTGTTACCGTATATTAGAGACTAAGAGCGTTTAATGTTAATATGCAAGAAATTGTGTTATGCATAGCAGTGATGCGGCATTGCAAAAAAAGCAGACTGCCAAGTCGATTATCTCCCTGTGCCCCTAAAGCACCGCACAGCTACATTCATTAGGAAGGTTACTGCTTGCGTGTCGACGAATTTAAATTATTCTAGCAAGTTATCTCGCCTCTACTATTATTCACAAACTAATGTGCTCATTTCATATAAATTTAGTTTCATATTAAATGCATGTAACCTTACAAAACAGCTGTTAGGCTAAAGCACAGAAGAGCACAGCTCCTGGGTTTCCTGGTTGTACAGTCTCAGATCCATTTCTCAAACCTGCCATTGGTAGGAATAAAAATTGAATAAAGTATTTCTTCAAACCACAGACAACAAAAGGAAAATGGAAGAGATAGATGCCGCCTCAGCAGTGAAGATAAAGCGTGGTGTGCAGAAGACGTCAGATCTGATCGTTTTGGGTCTGCCGTGGAAAACGTCCGAGCAGGACCTTAAAGACTACTTCAGCACCTTTGGAGAAGTTATCATGGTGCAGGTGGGTGAAACCATGAGAGTTTTGGTGAGAGAGCCACACATCAAAGGGGCTCTTTGGTTAATTTCCCAGATTGAGTCTAGTCTACGACTGTAGCAAGTGATGACAGGGGATTCTGTGACATTAAGTCCCATTTTGTCCCATTTTGTCCAGGGTTGGGGAGTGGAAGTGTCTAAGAATATCCCTGCTTATTGGTTTAGCATATCTTCTTGGCCTGGAAAACAGCTGTGGGTCACTGCCCCCCCAGAATGAGTCTCTGTTCTTGTTTGTGCTTTGACCTGCTAGGTCACAGTCCAGGTATCTTGATGGCAGATTGAGCCCAGCTCATTAAGCAGTTGTATGCCTCCATCGTGCTTCCTGGTACGCAGTGGGACGTGGTTAGGTGTAAGGGCAAGTCAGGCAGCAGCAAGCAGCCTCAAGCCTCATATTCTGCACATTCGGTTCACGACATGAAGCTCCTCTTGTTGCAGGTGAAGAGAGACGCAAAGACTGGAAACTCCAAAGGCTTTGGCTTCGTGCGCTTCACAGATTACGAGACTCAGGTCAAAGTCATGTCCCAGCGGCACATGATCGACGGAAGATGGTGTGACTGTAAGCTCCCCAACTCCAAGGTATTTAGACCCTATGGGATATTTCCATGTTCTCCTTATCTCCATGTTCGCCATACTTGTTTTTAGCACCTTTCTAGAAATCAGCTTTGCCCACACTATGGATTGCTTACATTTGGCACATGCCAATATACAGTCATTTTAACTGAGACACATTGAAGTTTTCTGCTCTCTGGTCTTTGTTGTCTTTGTTTATTGTGAACTGCAAAGGCTTTTAGCTCTAGGGAGTTTCCCTCTCCTTATTTTTAAACTCCGTTTGGCTCTTTAAACTATTAGCTGAGTGCTTAATTTTTACAGGTTCTAAAGTTACATTGACTAAATGTGCAAAGTCCTGTTTTCATTACTTGGTGTTTTTCCCTTGGCCCTTTCTCACTGATTACCTGAATGATTTAAATAATGAAACAAATAAAACATGGCTTTGTTGTACCTGGGCTGCTTGTCCCAGGCTCTCAAAACAGCCTCAAAATTTCCTGTGGCACATAAGTATATGAGGTGAATGAATATATACATACATTTGGGTGTTTCAGTGAAAACTGCGTGAAATGCCTCTTAGCTAGAATGCTGATGATGTGACGTTCATAGTAATCTATGGAGAGTTTACTCCGTGCTGCATTCCTCAATCGTTTATCCTGAATTGCATCGTCTTCCCCTGAAAGCCGATGTTGGTACGAGCCCACATTCCCTCCTGTGATCCGCCGCCTTTCCTGAGCAGGGTGCCTAACTTCGGTGTTTGTTTCTCCGTGTAACAGCAAGGCCCCGACGAGCCGATGAGGAGCAGGAAGGTGTTCGTCGGCCGCTGCACCGAGGACATGACCGCTGACGATCTCCGGCAGTTCTTCATGCAGTACGGGGAGGTCACCGACGTCTTCATCCCGAAGCCCTTCCGGGCTTTCGCCTTCGTCACGTTCGCGGATGACCAAGTAAGTGTGCGGCTCACATGTGTAAAGCTAACGGTTCTCATTTATGTAGATGGATTCAGGGAAAACTGATCTTGACAAAGAAACAGAGAGATATTAGCTGTCATGCAGAGTTGTATTTAATAGTTTCTGTTTTAGTTTGTTGCTAGATGCGTAAAAATACAGAACTGAGTGCAGTGAGAGCTGTAGTCATGCCAAAATGATGCACGCTCACTTACACCCCCCCCCCCCCCCCCCCCCCCCTTAGGTGGCCCAGTCCCTGTGTGGGGAGGACCTGATCATCAAAGGGGTCAGCGTACACATCTCCAACGCCGAGCCTAAGCACAACAATAGTAGGCAAATGATGGATCGGGGGGGGCGCTTCGGGGCCGGGGGGTTCGGGGGGCAGGGTTTCGGTGGCCGCGGGGGCCTGGGCAATAGCGGCGGTATGGGGAGCGGCAGCGGCGGCGGCGTGAACTTTGGGGCGCTGAGCCTGAACCCGGCCATGATGGCGGCTGCGCAGGCGGCTCTGCAGAGCAGCTGGGGGGTGATGGGGATGCTGGCCAGCCAGCAGGGTCAGTCTGCCGCCTCGGGGGGCGCCGCCCCCACCAGCCAGGGCTCCGGCGCCGCACGCGAGCAGAGCCAGGCCTTCGGCTCCGGGGGCGGGGCTAGCTACGGCGCCGGCTCAGCCGGGCTGTCCTGGGGGGCGGCGTCCAACTCGGGCTCCGCCGGCAGCGGGGGCTTCAACTCCAGCTTTGGCTCCAGCCTAGAGTCCAAGTCGTCTGGGTGGGCACTGTAGGCGGGTCGGGCAGCAGGCACGGGGCGTCTCCATACTTTGGTAAGTATTTCGGAAGAAATTTGTTCCTTGCAGTCATGCCTAATTTGTATCTAATCTGTATTTAAAGTATATTTTTCTTCATTTTTGGAAAAGACATGAATATGTGAACACGAGTTAATCTACACAAGATTTCTGTATAGAGTGGTTGAAGTGTCTTTCTTTTGTGTGCGGGGTGTAGATCCCTGTCGCTTGTTTTTGTTCATAATCAGGTTCTGTACGCGTGCACCTCAAAGGGTGCTGATTGAGAAATGTGTGTGATCGCCGGTCATGGCCGACCTGCCCCACAAAGCCGCTCTCGCTACTGGTTTAACTGGGATTGGGAGACAAGCCTGGGTTGGATTTTTTTTTTGTATGGCATTTGTTTGCAGTTTTTCTACTTTTTTTTTTTTTTCTTTTTACGGAAAAGCCTTCATTAAAATCTCTTCTGCAGTTCACCACCTCTTTTCCAATTTCCCGGGAAGAAGCCCGGCCTTGGCAGCCTTGTTCCAGCGGTCTCAGTATCAGTGCCCCTCGTCTCATGTCTAAATGCTTTGCCATCAAAGAACACAGCTTCACTCCGCATTCTCTATGCTGGACGGTGGGTGTTGCCCTTTTTATCCACTTTTTTTCATGGGGGGAGAGAGGAAAAAAGTCTGCACTGTATCGCAAAGTTGCGCTTTTGAAGAGAGTGGAGATTGAGGATGGATTGTTGGTGGGCCCGGAGTGAGAGACTTGAGTTTGAGCGAACGGAGAGAGGAAGAAATGAAAGCTCGTGTGGAAAGGACTGCTTGTGCGTTCGGAAAGCGGCGTGACATGCGAGAGGTGGGACGAACCTGTGCCTTTGGTGAGCGAGTGTGAACGCAAGCGGCATTTGCCAGTACGAGTGTCTTTTTCAGTTGCTTTTTTGTTTTTTTCCTTCTTCCCTGTAAGACTATGATAAAGGACATTTTTTCCTCTTCCTAATACTATACCATCATTAAAATAGCAAGAAAAGTAGTGGAATGTTTAGTGTTATGAATTTGTACCATTATTCTCTATATGACCTGATTGTGTCTGCTTTGTTCTCCCTGTTCATTGACCCTGTTGGTGTGCAAATGTGCTTTGATGCTGGTGGTGTCTGTTGAGGACACTAGAGGGCGCTAGTGCGGTGTGTGCGCGCCAGTGCAAGTGAACTTTGTGTGGCTTGGTGTGTGGTGGGGCGGGGGGGCGGGGTGGGTGTTGGTGGGCTGGTAATGAAAGTTGAAGGATTCCAAACGAAAGATTGCTTTTGTTAAGTGTTGTTTTTTGCTTTTCTTTGAATGCATTGTACATTTTGCTAAAAGGGAATTCTCAAATAAAGCTAATTTGAATAGGTATTTGTCTATTTAATACTGACCTTTCAATTTTATCTTTTTGATTTTGTTAGTGTTTTAATTAATTGAAATGCACAAATGCTTATTTAATCCGCATATGTAGGGACCTCGGACTCCAGCCCAGGTTCACGTCTGAACGAAGTCAATTTTCCGGAGGCTGAAGATCGGAGGAGGTTCAGAGTTGGGGGGTCGCCGTCACTAGCTAATAGTGGGAGGGAGGCACAGCAGAAGGCCTTAAATGTGAAAAGAGACTTCTTCACCTCATTCTAACAAGATTCCCAAGAAATTTGGCCAGAGGTTTTAAATGGACTATTCTAAATTTGGCAGAGAGCTGATCGTCTGTCTAAAACCTGATTTATTTTTATTTTTGAATGAAAAAAACTACTCCGTGTTTCATAGACAACATGAGCTTGTTTGATGAAAGTACTTTGTAGCACTGAATCACCCTCTCGCTACTTTGCAGGTTACATCTGAAAGGTTTCTCTATGGTTGTTTTTCTTTTTCTTTTTTTTTTCTTGTTTTCTGGGTTACTTAGATGCAGTTTCATTGATACACAATGGCTTTTCATGTGAATGTACTTGCTAAGGTTATTTGGTTATTTTTTTCCCCCCAATCAAGGCTTCCGGATGGATCCAGCTGTTTGAATATATTGTTTAGACTGGAAAAATTAAAACTTGCCACCAGAAATTAGTCATGTATCAAATATAATTTTCAGTTAAATGTAAAATAAACTGTTAAACTTTTCAATTGCTTATTTTATTTTAATCCCCTGTAATTTATCCAGTAGTACAGAATGCATGTCTCTTCTTTTTATTTCATTAATTAGGTCACCAGTTGACTGGTTAATTTCATAATTTGGTTTAAGCGTCTTAAGTGGAAATACCATTTGTTCCACCCGAGCATCTGTAGCTTTGTCACAAAGGGATATGATGACCTTGGTCTCTGGATCCTCTCAGGCACAGTTTAAGGTACAGAGGAGACATCTCTTGTAGGTATTAATCATTTATTTTATGTATCTGCCTGTATGTTGGGCAAACACACCAGAATTTAACAGCCGTGGCTGATTCTTTGATTGTGCAACAGGCTGTGAAAATTGACATGCAGATTTGTGCTTAGATTTCAGAAGCTGAGGGAAATTCAGGTAACTAACTTTTCTCATCTGCAGCTTAGTCCAGAGTTGCCAAGTATAGATTCAGCTCTTGTAAGCTACCCTTGTTTCCTGTTCAGTAACTACTTATTTGGAAAATATAGAAAATGGAAGCCAGCCAAACTAACTAGCTGGACTGATGAATGTTCTGTCATGATGTTTAAACTGCCAAAGTGATAATGTGAATTTGCGTTGATATTTTTCATTCACATGGGTTTGCGGTTGGATGTTATCGCTGATGATAGACCAGCCAACAAACTATGCAAAACATTGTAATATGAGACGTGCAGTGTTACATTACATTAGTCTGCATATGGCCAGTGCCCACGTCAGATGAATGGACATGAAGGCACGTTCTCTCAATGCTGAATCCAGTAGCAAATTCCTGCCGTCTCCCAGCAACCTGCACTGTCAAAGGATACTTGGCATTTATTTACTGTAACCAAGGTAACTACGCCCAGTTTAGCCAATGCGCTTGGGACGTCCTCATGCCCTTTTTGCTGTAGCCTTTCAAAAGAACAGCTGAAGGAATTTAACATCCTATTTAGGAAATGACTCTGTGTGAACCAGGTGGCTGATAAATCATTTATCAGCATAGCAAGCTGAAGTAAGTCATACAAGGATCTAAATCAGGGGTCTCCAACTCCGGTCCTGGAGAGCTACTATCCAGTCGGTTTTCAATCCTACCCGGCTTCTGATGAGTCAGGCCTGTTCTCAGATAGATACCAGAGCCAGGCGAGGTTCATCAGAAGCCGGGTAGGATAGAAAACCTACTGGATAGTAGCTCTCCAGGACCGAGTTGGAGACCCCTGATCTAAATTCTCATTTAGAAAGTAGGTCAGGTTAGGAGTGAAGATAGTTAATAGGAAAGGACATTTGAGCTTGTTAGTGTCCTGCTTGCAACAGAGCCACTATAACTAATCCTGACACCTATGATAATGTGAGTGATGAGCCTACAGGGAGTCATGTGACTCAGCCTCTGCTTGTGATTGGAAGGTCGCCAGTTCAAGCCCTGGTTCAGCATAATCACATGTCTATGGGCCCTTAACCCCCAGCCCCATGGGTACCGCTATGGTTGGGGGGGCACCCTTCACTGCCAGGCTTGTTCTCAGCTATATCTGTGGAGATCAAGCTGGGGTAGGCAGAAAGGGAATTTCAATAAAGTATCTTCATTTCACAAAATGATACACAAGAATAGGCATTTAAGCTGCTGTGCTCGTTTTGGGGGAAAAAAAATTGCTGAATGAAAGCTAAACGATTGAGTGACTATGCGTCCTAGCTCATCTCCTGCAGAGCTGTTGCAGCAACGTAGTTCATTCTTGCATATTAATCCTGCTTCCACCGCTGGTGATGGTGAAAACTCAAGCTCACTTGATCTTTGTAAAGCACAGGTGCGGGTTACAAAGTAACCAATTTTTGTGATAACGATTCCTTCCTGCTATCTATGGCACAAGGCAGGGGAACACCCACTGCAGACAAATCAACACCGCCCTGTCTAATATAACACAGGGAATTCATTCATTAGATTAATTCTTTATTTACTGCTAGTTCACATCGGCATAAATAGGTAACACTTGCGAGAGCTGATTGCTAGAAAAGTGTTCAGTCACTTTCTACCCAGAAAAGGCTTCTTCCCTGACTTCTGCTTTCGGAATGTGAGATATGCTGTGGGGAGGGGGGGCACTAAGCGTTGTAAGAGGAGGAGGAGACATTGCCCCCGTGACCCGTCCAGTTGGTGTGGATGAATTTGCCGGGGCTGGGTAGTAGCTCGTAGGTGTGCGCGCCGAAGTAGTCTCTCTGAGCCTGAGGGGACACGAGGGTAACAAGCATGAAACAATGTGCCCTGCATGGTCACCACAAGACCGTCAGCAAATGTTACACTTTATAAAAGGCTATGGGCTCCACTATGACTTTGACCAGAGCCAGTGTCAAGAGGGATGGATGATTTTTACCACTACATTTTACCCTGTATAAGTCAAATTTTATGGCTCACTACAAAATCTATATAATGAAAACATGTAACAGCTTAGTTATTCACTGTGACAGCCCAATATCGCATGTAATGTGCACAGCCACAAGATATAGATCAAAATAAATCACAAATACAAAATAACACAAGTGGTGGGTGATACGACGAAGACCGGGATCAGCCGCAACTATATCCACGATAATCATTTGCGTTATCGCAAGAATCACGATACCACACTTAACACATGACAGCATGACTGATGGGGAAGAACAATCATACCACCTGCAGTGCAGGCTATGTAATCCAGCTGAAGCTAAGTAGGTTTGGACCTGGCCAGTACTTGGATGGGAGACCAACTAGGAAAACTGGGTTGAGGTGTTGGTGAGGCCAACAGGTTAGTCTATCCCGTGGTCTGTGTGGATAACAGTGCAGTGTTGGGGACACAGTCCTGTAACAAATGGTGCCGTCCTTCGGAGGAGACGTAAAACAGAGGTCCTGACCCTCTGAGGTCATAAAAGATCCCTGAAAGGGTTGGGGTGGTACCCTGATGCCCAGGCTAAAATTGCCCACTGTGCCCCTATCAAATCCGGCCTCCTAATCACCCCCCTATAACTGGTGAATTCTCTCGTGCCCCTTCACCACCTTAGCTACTGTGTGGTCAGGGTACTGGGGCAGAATGGCTGCCATTGCATCATCCAGGTGGGGGCTATGCAATGGTGGTGGGTGAAGTGGCTCCCCAGTGATTCTGTAAAGCACTTTGGGTGTTTGAAAAAGCACTATACAAGTAACATTCATCATTCAAGAACTGGTTATTAAAAAATGGTTTGGATTTGTGAAACCCAATTTGGCCCGAACTACTGTGATTTTTAAACTAAGATACTGTTCGTACACAGGTGGCAACAGAACCAAGCTCCACCCCCTGAAACGTCGGCACCCTAAACATGCCACATAATTAAAGTATATTATGATGTTACAAGCAGTGTTTCTTGTAAGGACAAAGTTGCTGAACCTTACTACACACAATTTGGTCGTTTCTAAACAAAAAAGAACACTGATCATGATTCTAACCAAACATTTTGTGCTGTGACATTTGAGCTGTTTTGCCCGCCCATGTGCCCACAGATCCTTACCTGTAGCAGGTTGGCTGGGAGGACGGCATGTCTGTACCCATCATAGAAGGAGAGCGCAGTGCTGAAGCAGGGCATGGGGATCCCCAGCTGGACCCCAGTGCTCACCACCCGCCGCCAGGAGTCCTTGCCATGGGAAAAGCAGCCAATCAGCACTGAGGACCCCATGTGCACCATGTGATCTATGTGCTACGCTAAAAGGCTGCTGCACTTTAAGAGTGAAATTTAACTGTCCAGTTAAACAGCATTGCAGTTCTATTCAGCAGGTGCACTGAGACATTCTCAGCCTGATGCCTTGTGAAGAGGACTTAATCACTGTGAAACACCAGCTACATGTTACTATTAAAACTGATATTCTTGCAGCACATTATCATAATACACCTAATGAAGATGCTTTTCATAACATTTGAAACACTGAGAGTGAGGATTTTCCAAAGTCACATGTCCAGAACAGCTGCACCCATCTGCTCTAATGGTCAAGCCCAGAAGCAAAGCCGTAATGATGGAACTTCCTGTACCTGGCAGTCCTGAACGGCATTGCTGAAGAACTTGTCCAGCAGAAGACTCTGGAGCTCACTGTCCCTGTCAAAGGCCTCC